AATTGATACCCCCTCTTAATTGATCCCCCTTGTTTATTGATCCCCCTCTTTATTGATACCCTCCATCCCAGAATCTTTGAGCAAGATGGCGGCCGTGACGTCACGAGAGAAAAACGCGTCGGGCTGTAGGTAGACTCGAACCTGGGCCCCGCGGGTTGCTATCGGACGCTCGAACCTCCTAGACCATTGCTGCCTGTTGCTAGTAGACGTCTAGTGAAGGTTCTTACAGTATGTGTGTGATGACGTCACGCATACGTCAAAAGAAAAAAACATGGCGGCGGTGTAGGCCAGACTCGAACCTGGGTCCCGCGGTTGCTATCGAGCGCTCGAACCTTCTAGACCACCGTCGTCTATTGCTAGTAGACGTCACGTTACGGGTAAGATGGCGACCGTGACGTCACGCATACGTCAAAAGAACAAACATGGCGGCGGTGTAGGTAGGGTCGAACCTGGGCCCCGCGATTACTATCGAACGTCTATCGGACGTCTCTTGAACGTCTGTCGGACGTCTCCCGAACGTCTCTCGGACGTCTCTCGAACGTCTATCGGACGTCTCTCGGACGTCTCTCTCGAACGTCTATCGGATGTCTCTCTCTCGAACCTCCTAGACCATTGTTACCTATTGCTAGTAGGCGCATAGTGAAGGTTCTTACAGTATGTATGATGGCGTCACGCATGCGTCAAAAGAAAAACAAAGTCGAAACTAGGCTAGACTCGAATCCCGGACCCTTCGTTTACTGTGCGATGGTCCTACCACTTAAACCATCATAGAGTAGGTTGGAAGGGAATACGAAACGTTCGTCGAAAGAGTATTTTACCATACCGACTTGCGCTGGGCACTATCCTCATCGTTCTGAGGAGGGGGAAGGGAAGTAAAATGGGAGACATATAGAATTAATTTATACATAATTTTATATTTTAGAATATCATTTATTTGTTCACGGCTTCATACATTATATTTTTCACAGCGCATGCTAACAATTCACAATCAATGAGCGACTCGCGGTCAAAGTCGCTGCTTTTTTGTATTGTTTTTGTTGCAGTATGTATATTAGTAATATAATTCTTCTTTTCACGAAGAATATTTACAAATGTTTTGAATTTTACACTAACTATACAGATATTTTCTGATAACCATCCATACATGTGATTGATGCAATTTTCAAATGTAAATAATACATTTAACGTATCTGGTGTTACATATAAGCAATTATTAAAAATTGTGAGTTTCACAATTTGTGAGTTGTACATCTTACATGACGTTATTGTTAATTCTTCTATACGCATCGGGGGAGACGATGACTTATAAAAATTGGCCTGCAGAAATCTTTGGATGTCAACACGTTGCCCCATTAGCGCATTCCAAGTTTTGATCAGCAATAGCAGTTGTTTGCCATGATTATCATCAATGACTATGTCTATGACGGGTTCAGCTCCTACGCTGATTCCGATATTCAAATATTTATAAGCAGTTGCAGTCAAAGCGTATCGGCGTCCTAAAATATGCATAGCAGGAGGTCGTGGAACGCTGAAAAGACATAGAAAATTTACATGTCTGAATCTTGGAAAAAATTACTACGGATAAACTAAAAGAAACAGCATTATAACACTCACCTTTCGCACATTTTCTTGCTCAGTGGAGCCTCGTCCTCATGTTGAGCAGGCATGTAATAATTTGCGTGTTTAGCGTTCACTTCAGCACCGGCAGCATACATTTTTATTATGTAGACACACCCAAACTTTACTATGTAGACACACAACTGATGAATCTCGTGTTCATAGAGCGACTGAGAGACAGAGGTTTTTTTTCCGAAGCCTAATATTAAAGCTACTATAGGGCATCCCCTCCTCTTACTCTTCAGAGTTGTAGCGCATGCGCAGATGTATTCCTCAAAACAGGAAAGTAAATGAGATGTAGATATCTTTGGTTAGACTCGGGATGGCATTAAAGATGTCGCTTCCGAACGACATCTTTTAACGATATCAGGGGAAAGGAGAGTGTCTTGACCATGGAGCGTCAGGTAGCTCAGTGGGTTTAGAGCAGCCCCCCTGCGAGAGACCCGAGTTTCATTCCCGGTCTAGCGACTACCGCACTTACGCGATATTTTTTCTCTCATCGGGACGAAATAAGAAGCAGGTCCCATCGCCTAGTTACGCCCTCCTTCTTTCACGGTCGTCATTTGACTCGCGCATATCCGAACGTGTTTTCTAACGGAGAGAATATAAAGTAAAGGATTCCAAAGAGCCGAGTATTCTCTGTAGTTAATAAAGAAATGGAAGACTTCACTCAAACCGAACGAGAACTGTTGGAGCAATCCACTCGTCTGAATTCGCGAGAGGCTTACGACGCGTGGGTGCAAAAGTTTGACAAGTGTATCAGATGTTTGGAAGAACAAAGTCGAGCAAAACGACCGCGATTGTCGATTGGTGCCGCGCAATCAGTGGTGGCTCGTATTGCACGACTCGAGGGACTGAAAATTTCTGTGCAAGAACGCTTCATATACGTGGGTGCTGGACACGCATCAAGAGATGCAGAATTGGTATGGAGAGAAATTGATACAGCGTTCGAAAGCCGCATATCAACCGGCGCAGTTATTAACGTGAACCATATCGAACCTCTTCGATTTCTCCAAGATGCGAAGAGTATAGTGCTCGAGCACGTGCGAAGTGCTATGGAAAAGCACGGCAATCTTAAGGTGAACACTGTGTTCAATGGCGAGTTTATCTCAGGCGACAATCATGCATTCAAAAGCATTGACACGAGAAACAGTGAACTCTTTTCTGCTTTAGATTTGGATAAATGGTACGAGCAACGCGTCATCGAGCCTACCTTGGCATCTTTGGAAGAATTTCAAGAACGTGATAGTGGGTGGGCACTGCTACGCATACTTGATCTCACAGTCAATGTGAACAAATACAATCCACTGCATGCAGGGTGCAACATTGAGCTGCCTCGCGAAATAAAATTAAAGAAAGCCGTGATAAACATACGAACTAAAGACAACGCATGTTTTGCATGGTCCGCGGTCACGGCATTATATCCAGCTGAAAGAAATGGAGACCGGGAATCTTCGTACCCACATTACACCAAAATATTCAATCTTCAGGATATTGAATTTCCAATGACGTTTAAACAAATTACCAAGTTTAACAGCTAAACAACATATCCATCAACGTATACACCATTCAAGATAAAAAAAAGCAAGAAGAAGCATGTACGATCGTTCCGATATGTTTCGCCAGTAAGAAGGAAAAGCATGTAAATTTGTTATATGTGCAAGATCCACAAGAGTGCAACATGGGACATTTCGTGTGGATCAAGAATTTGTCACGTCTTGTGGACATGCAACTGAGTAAGAAAAAATGCAAGAAGAGTATATGCGATCGGTAAGGAGATATTCACCATAAATATAAAAAATATGAAATAAAAGAATAACTCGTAATATCCATTTCTTTTCAGTTGCTTGCATTATTTTTATTCTAACGAAAAACTGGAGAATCATATTGCAACCGCAATCAGATTGCAACAGGTTGAATGACTGTGCAGTCATCCTGCCAACAGAGGCCAACAAGTGGCTCAGTTTTACTAATTACAGCAGAAGAGAATGGATTCCATTCGTGGTGTACGCTGACCTGGAATGCATTCTAGAGAAAACGTCAAACGAAGAAAAAAATCGTATGTGTATCAGCATCATAAAGTACATAGTGTAGCTTATTATGTACGATGTTCCTACGATGAATCATTATCCGCATATCAGTGTCGTCGCGATCCGAATTGCATTTCGTAGTTCGTCGAGGAACTTAAACAATTGGCGCATCGTATAAAAATTATAATGTCCCTATGGAAATTTTATCACAAGAACAGTGCGCAGCATTTTATAGTGCAACGCATTGTCATATATGCGAAAAATTATTCGCAGTGGGGGATATACGCGTACGCGATCATTGTCATTTAACCGGACAATACAGGGGTCCGGCACATTTCAATTGTAATTTAAATTATACAGATTCCTATTATATTCCGATAGTTTTTCATAACTTATCAGGTTATGACGCTCATTTTATTATCAAGGAAGTAACCACCGCGTTCGAAGGTCTCGTCGGTGTACTACCAATAACGAAAGAAAAATATATTTCATTTACCAAACATATTAATGATACAACAAGTAAAACATCAGGCTGGCGAAATTATATTAAATTGCGGTTCATCGATTCGTATAAATTTCTCAGTACCAGTCTCGATAAATTAGCATCGTTTCCCACTGGAGACAAATTAAAAATTCTTCAATCCGAATTTAAAAACTTATCCGACAAAGATTTTGATTTATTAACGCGAAAAGGTGTCTTCCCGTACGAATATGTGGATTGCAATGACAAGCTGCAGGATCAATGTTTACCACCGCGCGAGTCATTCTACAGTTCGCTGACAGGTGATACAGTATCTGAGAGCGATTACACGCACGCCGTGAACATATGGGAACGGTTTTCTATTCAAACTTTAGGCGAATATAGCGATTTGTACCTGAAAACTGATGTTTTGTTATTGGCTGATATTTTCGAAAATTTCCGCGATAGTTGTATCAAAAGTTACGGTCTAGATCCCGTGCATTATTACACATTGCCAGGTTTCACGTGGGATGCGATGTTAAAACATACAAAAATTAATTTTGAATTACTCACAGATATTGATATGGTAATGTTTATCGAACGCGGTATACGTGGCGGTCTGAGTCAGTGTTCCGGTAGATATGCAAAAGCCAATAACCAATACATGCAATCTTACGATCCATCGAAGCCATCCTCATACCTCATGTACTTTGATATAAATAATTTGTATGGCTGGGCAATGTGTCAACCGTTACCATACGCTGAATTTAAGTGGGTTGATGATACGTCGAATTTTGATGTATCATCAATCCCGCTAAATTCGCTCACAGGTTATATTCTCGAGGTTGATTTGGAGTATCCTCAACACTTGCATGATACACATGCAGATCTACCGTTCTGTCCGACGCGAACGAAGCCCCCGAACAAACGGCAAGAAAAACTCCTTGCGACTTTATATAATAAGCAGTATTACGTTATTCATTATCGTAATCTGCAGCAGTGCATATGCCATGGTTTTCGTATCGAAAAGATTCATCGCATACTCCAATTCGCACAAACTTCATAGCTACGCAACTACATAGAATTAAATACGCAGTTTCGAACGCATGCAACAAACGATTTTGAGAAAAATTTATACAAATTAATGAACAACGCGGTATTCGGCAAAACAATGGAAAATGTTCGCAATCATGTCGATGTAAAACTTTTAACAAAATGGGATGGACGATACGGTGCAGAGGCAATGGTCGCAATGCCCAATTTTCATAGCAGGAGCATCTTTTCAGAAAATTTGGTTGCAGTTGAATTGCGAAAACTCGAAGTGAAGTTCAACAAGCCGAACTATTTGGGTATGTGTATTCTCGACATATCTAAGACCTGCTTGTATGAATTTCATCATGAGTACATGTCACCTCTATATCGTGAGAAATGTAAAGTACTGTATACGGACACAGATAGCTTAATTTACCATGTAATGTCCGACGATGTATATGAGCTAATGAAACGTGACATTGCTAGGTTTGATACGAGCGATTATCCTCAAACTAACATATACGGTATACCGCTTAAGAACAAAAAAGTTCCAGGGCTTATGAAAGATGAAAATAACGGAGCTATAATGACAGAATTCGTCGGGCTCAGAGCAAAAATGTATGCGCTGAAAGTAGAAGGTAAAAAGGATACTAAAAGGGCGAAGGGTGTTAAGAGGAATATTATAGCACGAACGATCAATTTTGACGATTACACACATTGTTTGAGAGAAGAAATTGAAACGAGTCGGCGTCAATCGTACATAAGATCCAAGTTGCATGAGGTATACACGGTATTCGAAACGAAAACTGCACTCAGTCCATACGATGATAAGCGATTTATTATGTCTGATTCGATAAATACATTACCATGAGGACATTATAGTATACTATTATAACGTTTATTTGTTTTATTAGCTATTTTACAATTAAATATGTCATCAAATGTTCTAATAAAACTGTATTATTTTTTACAATACATTATCCTTTTGTATCCATGAATTATGCGAATTGTCGAATCCCAACCATTTTACATATACTTTGTCGCCTTGCCTGCGCAACACCTTTTCTACTAAGTATATATCTGGATTGGTGACACTATGTAGTTCGTGTTCGTAGAAACCCCCGGCGATAGGTTTCCCGCGCGAGTCTGCAAATAGGTAAGTTGCAGGATTAGTTGTCTGCACTTTGACGATTTTAAACACTTCAGTTGTCCAATTCGGTGTATAGCCTTTTTCAAAGATAGTTTTGAATTTGCTGACGCGTACCAGATCACCCACTTTGAATTTCGCAGGCGCTGCAATCTTTATGTTACTATAGACTGTGTTTAAGAGCTTATTAGCAATTGTAGGAGTCACATCGATAGGACGCATGCCGATAGTTCGATGTTTTCGCGTGTTGTATTCAGCGACGAGGCGCGGTAACGAGTCGATCCATTTGTAAGTTCCGTTGAACGTAAACATTTTCCACATGTTGTTCTTTAACGTGCGGTTGAATCGCTCCACAACAGATGCCTTCATTACTGAATAAGTCGAATAATGATTGACACCGTGTTTCTTCACAAGTCTCTGCAACTCTGTATTGTAAAACTCCTTTCCCTGATCAGTTTGCAAGTTCTTCGGACATCTTCCATCCGTTCGAATTATCTTTGCGAATGCCTCGCTATCTCCTTTCCGCTTTTGCTCTTTAACGGCACGGCCCATGCGTGCTTGCTCAGTACATCGATAATGGTGAGTATGTAGTGGTGGCCTCCATTGAATCGCGAGTAAGGACGCATTTCCACCACATCGGCCTGCCAAAGATCATCGTATCCACGCACTATGACGCGTCTGCGAGGAAAATTTCGTCTCGCTGGAGCGTGTAATTCTTTCACTAGTTGTTCTTTTTCGGAATGTTTCTTCTCATTATTTTTCCCCGTTACTCGCCGAGTCGTTTTCCCATCATGCGTGAAGCTTTGTCGCTTTACACCGGCAGAAACAGCTGAAATAGTACCGATGAGTTGCTTCTCTGAACTTTTCTTCTTTTTGTTAAATTTTGACGATTGCTTCACCATTGCAGCTCGTGATGATCCGTCTCTTGCTTATGTCGATACTATATGTCGATTCAACTGCAATATTCTACTTTTATATTTTCGACGATTTCTTTATCTCTGAATCTGTCCAGTCTAAAATTCGTTCTGTGTTCTCATGAATGCTATTTATGCTCAGTATGTTTTTCTTCTGGTAGTCTTCCAGCCAATCCTTCAATTTTTTAACATTCTCATCTACATACTGCTTCGTCTCAACGTTACTCTCATGCAGTAGAAGCTTTACAGAATTTATATTCTCATCTATATACTGCTTCTTCTCAACGTTACTCTCATGCAGCAGAAGTTTTACAGACTTTATACTCTCATCCACATAATTTTTGTGCGCAACATCATTGAAGGCTCTCGGCCGCGTTACATGATGTATCGCGTGCCTGTTGCGTCAAAACCTTTGCCATCGGCGGTTAGACAAAGGGCATTTTCATGTACGTATCGTTTGGTTGCAACATCATTCAAATGATTTCTCACACCTGCAACACATTCTTCCACGTATTGTTTGGTTGCAACGTCACTGTCGGCTTCAGGCTGCGCTACATGTTTTATCTTGCGCGATTTTGCATCAAAAACTTTGGCAGCGTTTAAACAAAGGGCATTTTCATGTATGTAATTTTCAACATGTTCATTCCATTGATGCGCTCGATCAGTTTTCGCACCATTGTTTTCTCGCGACACTCCAAACTTATTCATCGACATTTCGGAACAAGTTGTACCGACTGACTGACTTGTGTCAATGCCACGCTGCTTAATTTATAATGAGACCAGCTTCACGGAGTTCTTCGATAATCGATAAAATTTCGTGCTCGTGCGAGTTGTTGCCAGCTTGGCGCGAAGCGTCAAGCAATCGCAGACGATCCACCAGCTCGTTGGGATCATCCCAATGCACGTAATCGATATTGTTGTCATTTAAGGTCATCATAGCTTGCGATGCGTATAAACCTTTTCCTCCCACTTTATTGCTCGACGCATCTGATACTAGGGGCGCGATTATATGTTTATATTTGTGTCCCTTGTTACCGAGTATAGGATTTTGCGGGAGGTACCCGCGTCTGTGAGTATTTGTCGCCAATAGTATATTTTTGTATTTTTGCATATCAGCTTCGGTGTACACAGAATCGTCGGGGATTCTTTTGAATATTAGCTCGTAAAGACCGGGTGTTCCAATGTATCCTGTTTCGCCTATGATTATATTATCGTCTCTGTCCACATCGATACGTTTATCACCGAGCATCGCTCCATCGTTACTAAGACGTACGCCGTAAACATAATCTATAGTGTTATCTTTTCCACTGCTTAGCACAGCTCCCATATATTTTTGACCCAACGGACCAAAATGATCACGTAAAGTTTGTTGTCCTTTGTACGTTCGCAACTGACGTCTAACGGATGTCACTACCGGTTTATCGGGGGTTTCGGAAACATTCTCATCATCATCATCATCATCAGTGAGTAGATTGTCGATCGGTGAAGGTTCATGCGACATTCCATGTAGTTCCTCATGTTGTAGAGCTTCCGTCGATGTAGGAACTATCAGAGGATCGTTTAATAGTTTCCGTTTCGGTGTAGTCAATGCGACTGGTGAAAGTTTTGCCTTACGCTTTATCTTTTTTTCGGGTTTTAATATTACACTCTTTGTTTCTTCGCTTGTACTCATTGATAGTGGCTCAGTTTTAACATCAACGTTACTTTCCACATTAGCGCTGCTTCCCGCGATTTGCTTGAGAGGTTCAATAATAGGTTTAAAGTGTCTCTCCAATGCAGCATTTTCCACCATTCTACCGGTTTTCAAAGCGCGATACTTCTTGCGGATCGATTCGCTCGTTTTCGCAATCTCTTCCGCTACCTTTTCACGATCCATGATCTTCACGCTACTATTCATCATTGATATGTTTGTCTTGTGAATGTTGAAGATGTTACCACGTTGAGGTTAAAATGACGATTGTGCATCTCACAGCACAGCAAAGTCGTTAAATCCTTTTCTGTATCGTCCGTCGGTCATTGAGCTATCCTTATCAATCACTGTGAAACCATATTTATCCTCCCAACATTTGCAACACAATGTACTGAAATCCTCATATGACATGTCAGTGTTCACATGATCGTTGTACACATGTTTCAAGTTGGTACCATCCTGTTTAAAGAGAATCAGAAGATTTGCATTGTCCCGTATAAGATGCTTGGGTATTTTTGCGTACGTCTGACAGAGATAGAAACAGTCAACGCTCGAATGACGACCCATTGCAAAGTATTCTCTTATCGTATCTTGTTTGTCACATGCAACGTCATCAAAGATAAAAATGGAATTTTTGGGCGCTTCGGTCGTTGGAATCACATCGCTGTTATTGGAGAATGTAAAGTATCCAATTTCATCTATCGATTTCAGCAGATTTTCCAAGTAGCGATATTTAGGTTGTTGCAACGATTTCGAGTACACGTACAAGTTCTCGAAACGTAGACCGTGCGGACTTTCCAACAAGCTGATGAGAATGTTTGTCTTGCCGCAATTCGAGGGACCGCATATGATGCCGCGTATGGTGTTCGGAAGCATGTTTCCATGCCTGCGCGCCTCTTGCTCAAGCATTGATTCCGTTCTATTGTCGAAATTTGTCACGCATATCGACGTTGGTTGCTTCACGAACCGCATGTTTCCCCCGTGAGTCGCAAAATAATTTAAATGTGACGCTGATTTAACTATATATATAAGCGCGTCAATCTTGGAAACACTCAGTTTAGAAAATGTTCCTCCTGTTGACAGATACCCATGATATTCGAGAGCTAACCTCCGAACAACTGAAATATATACCGAAGATTGTTCTGTTACGCGAATTTGCAAAGTATATTGACGATTTGCAGGATAGACTCCCGGAACATTTAAGAGTCGATCCAGAGGTTCAGCAGTATCGTCGTGTTTGGAACATTACAATCGTCCGTGGCAGCAAACACATATCGACGGTCCAGCACCGCTGATCAGGGACTGTAGTGAATGTCGTCGACAAAAGTCAAAGTCGGCAGTGGTCTATTGAATCGCGCGATAAATGCGCTTCCTATCGAACTACACATTCCCGGATATCAATTTTGTGGTCCTGGAACTCGCTTGGTAAAACGATTGGCCAGAGGTGACCAAGGCATTAATTCATTGGACGCGGCGTGTCGTGAGCACGATATAGCCTATTCGCGTAGCAACAATCTCACCGATCGGCACGCGGCGGATGAGATTCTCGCTGTGAAAGCGCGGAAACGCATAACTTCGAAAGAATCAACTCTAGGCGAGAAAGCTGCTGCTGCAGTCGTTTGGGCTGCTATGAAAGCCAAAACGAAAATCGGCATGGGCATGGGCACGAAGAAAAAGAAGTCGTCCAAGAAAGAAATCCGAAAACGAGCACTTCCAGTAGCAAAACGGGGTGGTATTTTACCAGTTCTACCATTACTGGGAGTTCTCGGTTCACTAGTCGGTGGAGCGGCGGGTGTCGCAAAAGCGGTGAATGATGGCAAAGCCGCGCAACGCCAGCTGGAAGAATTAAAACGTCATCATCGCGCAATGGAAGGTCGCGCTACGAAAGGTCGCGGAATCTATCTTGCTCCGTACAAGCGCGGGAAAGGCGCTGCAGAAAAAAAAAAACGTCAAAGAAACGCTAAAATTACCCACGGGTGCAATGACTAATGTACAGTTGGAAAGACTAGCGAGGCGTATGCGTATATCTTTCTTTCGAGGTGTTTTCATGCGTGACGCCTTACCGATAGATGGAGTACGTCAAAACGAGAGCGGTATTGTAAATTTAGACAACACAGAGGGACCAGGTACTCACTGGGTGGCGTATGCGAAAAGAGGAAATCGC